AGGACCCCGAATAGCCAAAACAATCTTGAGAAAGAAAAACGGAGCTGGAGGAATCAGGCTCTCTGACTTCAGACTATACTACAAAGCTACAGTAATCAAGACAGCATTGTACTGGCACCAAAAAAGAAATACAGATCAATGGAACAGGAGAGAAAGCCCAGAAATAAACCCACGCACATATGGTCACCTTATCTTTGATAAAGGAGGCAAGAATATACAATGGAGAAAAGACAGTCTCTTCAATAAGTGGTGCTGGGAAAACGGAACAGCTACATGTAAAAGAATGAAATTAGAACACTCCCTAACACCATACACAAAAATAAACTCAAAATGGATTAAAGACCTAAATGTAAGGCCAAGCACTACAAAACTCTTAGAGGAAAACATAGGCAGAACACTCTATGACATAAGTCACAGCAATATCCTTTGTGACCCACCTCCTAGAGAAATGGAAATAAAAATAAATATAAACAGGGCTTCCCTGGTGGCGCAGTGGTTGAGAGTTCGCCTGCTGATGCAGGGGACATGGGTTCGTGCCCCGGTCCAGGAAGATCCCACATGCCGCAGAGCGGCTAGGCCCATGAGCCATAGCCGCTGAGCCTGTGCGTCCAGAGCCTGTGCTCCGCAACGGGAGAGGCCACAACAGTGAGAGGCCTGCGTACTGCAAAAAATATAATAATAAAATAAACAAATGGGACCTAATGAAACTTAAAAGCTTTTGCACAGCAAAGGAAACCATAAACAAGACGAAAAGACAACCCTCAGAATGGAAGAAAGTATTTGCAAATGAAGCAACTGAAAAAGGATTAATCTCTCCAAAATATACAAGCAGCTCATGAAGCTCAATATCAAAAAAACAAACAACCCAATCTAAAAATGGGCAAAGATCTAAACAGACATTTCTCCAAAGAAGGTATACAGATTGCCAACAAACACATAGGATGCTCAACATCACTAGTCATTAGCGAAATGTAAATCAAAACTACAATGAGGTATCACCTCACACCAGTCAGAATGGACATCATCAAAAAATCTACAAACAATAAATGCTGGAGAGGGTGTGGAGAAAAGGGAATCCTCTTGCACTGTTGGTGGGAATGTAAATTGATACAGCCACTATGGAGAACAGTATGGAGGTTCCCTAAAAAACTAAAAACAGAACTACCCTACAACCCAGCAATCCGACTACTGGGCATATATCCTGAGAAAACCATAATTTAAAAAGAATCATGTACCACAATGTTCATTGCAGCACTATTTACAATAGCCAGGATATGGAAGCAACCTAAGTGTCCACTGACAGATGAATGGATAAAGAAGATGTGACACATATATACAATGGAATATTACTCAGCCATAAAAAGAAACGAATTGAGTTATTTGGAGCGAGATGGACGGACCTAGATTCTTTCATACAAAGTGAAAATAAGTCCGAAAGAGAAAAACAAATACCGTATGCTGACACATATATATGGAATCTAAAAAAAAAAAAAAGTGGTTCTGAAGAACCTAGGGGCAGGACAGAAACAAAGATGCAGATGTAGAGAATGGACTTGAGGACACGGGAAGGGGGAAGGGTAAGCTGGGACGAAGTGAGAGAGTGGCACTGACATATACACACTACCAAATGTAAACTAGATAGTGGGAAGCAGCTGCATAGCACAGAGAGATCAGCTCGGTGCTTTGTGACCACCTAGAGGGGTGGTATAGGGAGAGTGGGAGGGAGAGAGACGCAAGAGGGAGGAGGTATGGTGATATATGTATATGTATAGCTGATTCACTTTGTTATACAGCAGAAACTAACACACCATTGTAAAGCAACTATACTCCAATAAAGATGTTAAAAAATAAAATAAAATAAAATGAAAGATACCTCATTAACATAGCAAACGACACTTTTTATCACTCAGCACTTAGAAAATTCAAAAGAGTTTTAAGAGTTCTGTGCCTATGGAATAAAAAACAAATGGCTCTGATGAACCTAGGGGCAGGACAGGAATAAAGATGTAGACGTAGAGAATGGACTTGAGGACACGGGGAGGGGGAAGGGTAAGCTGGGACGAAGTGAGAGAGCAGCATTGACATATATACACTACGAAATGTAAAATAGATAGTGGGAAGCAGCTGCATAGCACAGGGAGATCAGCTCTGGGCTTTGTGACCACCTAGAGGGGTGGCATAGGGAGGGTGGGAGGGAGACGCAAGAGGGAGGGGATATGGGATATATGTATATGTATAGCTGATTCACTTGGTTATACAGCAGAAACTAACACAACATCGTAAAGCAATTATACTCCAATAAAGATGTTAATAAATAAATAAACAAACTGTGGTACATTCATACTCTGGTATACAACTCAACAATAAAAAGGAATGAACTACTGACATACACAGCCATCTAGATGATGCAGAGAATTGTACTGAGTGAAAAAAAGCCAATCCAAAAGGGACATACTGTGTATATAATCTATCTAACATGTATGTAATTTATATAACTGGATTGAAATGACAAACTTATAGAAAGAACAGATTAGTGACTGCCAGCAGTTGGGGACAGGAGGGAAGTAGGTGTGGCTATAAAATGGCCAGATGAGGAATCCTCATTGTGATAGGAATGTTCTGGCGTTTTGCTGTATCCCTATCAGTATCCTGGTTGTGGTACTGTATTATAGCTCTGTAAGATATTACCATTGGGGAAAAAATAATTTTAAAATGCCACCCCCCGATCCAATCCTATCAAACAACACACTAGGGGTTGGGAGCACAGAATACCTCGTTCTTAACAAGCTTTAGGAGATTCCTATGTACCTGAAATTGGAAAACCACTGCTATATATCAAGTATGTTCCACATGTTCACAACTTCTCACCAACACTGCAAGTTCCCACTGACTAAATTACCATCATATTCCAGTCCAGCCTCCTGAGATCTATGGAGTCCCCGAGGTTGGAGTGTGGGATTTCCCCAGACTCTCACATACATCCTTCAACAGCTTGCTCTCCCCCTGCTCCTACAGAGTGCCACTCCCACAGCCATTGTCTGAGGACTTTGCTAGTATATTCTTCAGGAGATAACTTTATTTACATAGTATTGGAAGGAAGCCCTTGCCATACCCACTAAGCATGTCCACCAACAGGAACACAAAAGCAGACTTAATCCTTCTCTCTGAACACCGAAGATTTTCCTTTTCATCCAAAAGACCACCGGGCTCACCCTGTGTAATAGCCAATTTCCCAAAACTTGTCCTCAAATTCCATAAAATTAAATAAAAAATATATCTGGTAAAGATGTGAAATTTTGGTTAACTACGAAAGTGACACAAGAAAGAAAAAATGTTTTCAATGATTAGAATTAAAAGTCATGATTGTTTGTATCAAGGAAAGAGAGATTATGCAAATACTTCCAAGTGATAAAATAATCTCCCACTTCATTTTTGAATGCACTCACTCGGATTCAAGTTCACGAAGACACAATCAGACATTTTTATTCAAACTGTCTTCCCAAGTACTTTACGGTCTCTTAACCTGGCACTGTATGTGTTTCAGGTGAATTATGAAGACGGAACAGGTCTAGGACTTTAAAGATAATATGCAAAGCAAATAGTGCTTTGATTAGAAACGTATTACTAGTGTGGATTTTTACATTGTTAGACATGAGGAAGAAGATTTTGGGCAATTGTCAGGATTCTTTTTGTGTATTAAAAATATTCGTTATTTAAGCATATTTAAATGTTTAACGTATAGACCAACAGCTAAACTCAACCGGTGTGTGTGACAGGGTGAAACTGATACAAAATTAATATTTTGGAGGGGGCATTTTGGTGTCTACTTAGAGAACGCCAAACTAAAGTAATTAGCGATAGATCTCCATGCCTTTCCTCAAATGCTGTAAGTGACTGCAAAACATAGCATTGGAGTGAATTCCTGGTGTGTTTTTCCCAAGCGACCCCTTCATTCAATAAATACTTATAGTACCAAGCACTGTTCTAGATGTTGAAATACAGTGGTAACCAAAGAGACGAGACTCCCTGCCTCACTGGGACTTACAGACTAGTGATGTTAGAAAGCCTCCCCAGAATGTCACTGTGGATATCACAAAGATATATTCTTAACTCAGATCCCAGCTATGCCACTTATGAGATGTGTGACCTTGAGAAAGTCATTACTTCTCCATGCCTCAGTTTTAGGGAAAATAAATATTTGCCTCACTGTGTTGTGATGGTTAAGTGAGGTAATATAATGGAAGTACCTTGAAAGTCCCTGCCATCTTAAGGCTGCTGGATACATGTTATTTAACTTCTGCATTAGCATGTTTTAAATGCAGAGCCTCTTTCAGAGAGATCGGGGACCAATACAAATTGTCAAAAGTAAGGTGTTTTTGTTTTTTTTTTTTTTAACTAGGAGAGTGGCACAGCCCATTCTCACTGATGCTTCAAACATCCCAAGCACCTAAAAAGTGCCTCCTTTGAGTGAGATTTGCTTGTCTTATCCCCCAGGCATGAACGCCAGAGCTTTCATGATAATAGATCTGCCTCACTCTTCCTAAAATTAGGCAGCACTTATCTTGGAGATATCGGTGAGACTATCACGGGCCACTCAGGAAGGCATGTTACTAGAGAGCCCATCATATCAAGAAGTCTAAGTAGGGAATTCCTTGGTGGTCTAGTGATTAGGACTCCACGCTTTCACTGCAGAGGGCAAGGGTTCAGGCCCTGCTTGGGGAACTAAGATCCTGCAAGCCACACAGCGTGGCAAAAAAAAAAAAAAAAAGTCTAAGTAAATTTTCTCCAGCCAAGTCCTGTGACACACAGAAGAGTCACTGGCTATTTAAAACTCTCAGACATCAGTCATACACACCAACATCAAATAAAAGACAACCAGCTAAACCCATCTGTCAATAATCATAATGAAATCAATTCCAGTTCTCTGCAGGCTTTGAATACTCTAGACAGTCTGCATACCTTTAGGCTTTGAGGTTTTAAGACCTTTAAACCTTTCTCACCTGTTGTACTAGAATATCTCCGATTCGGTTGATGACGAAATTCCTGTCGTTGCCAATACAGGATTCTTGCCTTCGCTCCTTCATACTATAGAAGAAATGCCTGTGGATTTCAAGTAACTCATCTAAACAGGGGAAGATTTTATCCACAGTGCTGTGGTCAAGCTGCAGCTCCTCCTTCATCCCTTTCCTGAAGATCTCGGACATGATGAACAGGGTCTGGATGTGATGCATTTCTGTCTGCATTAGCTCTGAAACAGGTGAGCAAAAACAAGCTTTAAAAAAACAAGTGTCCTCTGATGTTAACTAGACTTACTGTGGTGATCATTTTGCAATATAGACAATTATCATTAAGTTGTACACCTGAAACTAATATAATGTTGTATGTCAATTATACCTCAATTTTTAAAAAAGTATCCCTATTGACCTAAATTAGTAGCTAAACACTGTATGTTACACAAATAAAAAAAAAAAGGGAATGTTTAGGAATAATAATGTTCTTCTACTGTTGAAGTCAGCATTAATTAAACATTTAATGTAAGCTCAAAATATTAAACTATTCTCTTTTTTCCAGACATTATATGAGGATATGTATAAGTCAAGTCCAAGATGTAAGAATCCAATGTATCAAACTTTCATAATATAACCAGCTAACATCTTTAGGTATCTTCAGTTGGGCACCAGGTTTTATTTTCCCCTGAATGCTCTATAAAATGTAACTTAGTTCACCTCTTTTCTTTCTTTTTCCTTCTTTCATTTTTTTTGTGTGTGTTTTGTATTGAGTAGGAGCACAATTAATTTGGTGAATTATGTTGAATTAAATATAATAAAGTTCCTCAATGCATACAACAGTAGGTCCTTTCTGTTATTGGATCTGTCTCTGAAATTCCATTTTCTCCAGGAGAAAACAATGTGTCATGATCAAGGGACATCATCAAGAGAGTGAAAAGACAACCCATACAATGGGAGAAAATATTTGCAAATCATGTATTTGATAACGGACTTGAGGTCCAGAATATATAAAGAACTCTTATGACTCAACAACGACAAAAAACCCACTTCAAAATAGGCCAAAGATTTGAATACATGTTTCTCTAAAGAGATATACCAATAGCCAATGTGCACATGAAAAGATGCACAACATCATTAGCCATCAGGGAAATACAAACCAAAACCACAATGAAACACCACTTTACACACACTACAATAACTGTAGCTTAAAGGATGAACAATAAAGAAGCCTTGGTAAGATGTGGAGAAATTGAAACCCTCATACATTACTGGTGTGAATGTAAAATGGTACAGCTGCTTTGGAAAACAGGCAGTTCTTCAAAAGGTTAAACATAAAGTACGATGTGACCCCCAAAGTGGGAACAACCCAAAATGACCATCAAGTCATGATTAGATGAACAAAGTGTGGTATATCTATACAATGAAATATTACTCAGCCACAAAAAGGAATAGAGTGCTGATTTCTATTACAGCATGGATGAACCTTGAAAACAATATGTTAAGTGAAAGAAGCCAGGCCCAAAACACTAAATATTGTAATGTTCATAGGGACATATTCATAGGGACAGAAAGTAGATTAGTGGTTGCCAGGTACTGGTGGGAGGGGACAAAGGGGAGTGGCTGCTAATGGGCATAGGGTTTCTTTCTGGAGTGATGAAAATGCTCTGGAATTAAACAGTGGTTGATGGTTGCACAACTTTATAAATATACTAAAACTTTACAAATATACTACAGTATAGATTATGCACTGTAAAGGGGTGAATTTTATATCTCAATGTTTTGTGACTATATCTCAATTTTAAAAATGCATCATGAGAGAAAACAATAATTCACAATTTGTAGGAGCATCAGAAGTACAAGTTCTAGGTTAATGAGTATTTCCAAACTCATGTTTTGAAAAAGAACACAAAACATCAGCCATGGAGGGTAAACAAATCTACACGTAGCTTTGTTTATTATTTTATCATAAACAAAACTCTAATTGGGAACTGACTAACTTTAAATTATTATTATTAATTATTGTATCCTACCATATTTTTAATACCTACTCCATACTAAGCATCTACCATATCCGTTAATCCATTTATCTATTATGACCCCCAAAATAGGAATGATGTTCCTTATCTTTAAAAGAGAGACGTGAAGAAGAGAGGTGAAGGATTTTCCCTAGAACACAAGACTTTCTGACCCTGAGGCCATACTGTGAACTACACGACATGATAATTCATCCCACATGGGTGAGATTTTTTTTAATAATATATGAAATCAAGAAATAAATGAAGAAAAATTACAGTATAATATAAATTAAGTGAGACATACTAAAGGGGACAGCATCACTCTTTCCAAGGCAGCTCCCACCTGCACAGCCCTAGATGCCAGCACACTGCACATCGGCTCCTCTGATCTACATAACCACCACTTCACACAGGAGAAAAGCGGCCGTCGTCGCCACCGGCCTTTGCAGCCCATGCTTTGCACACACAGGATTAGCAAAAACTAAGAGTTAATCTCATATTTAAAGTAAGGTATCTTCTTGGAACCACTTTTTAGCATCTACTTCATACTTGAAAATTTTTTAAAGTTCTTTTTTTCCTAACTAGTCTATAATCTAACCTCCCTTAATTCAGACGGCCTTCACCCCAAATAGCATGAAATCGTAAAGCCTTCCACAGTTGAACTCCATACTCAGGACCGAGGCACACAATCACACACGGCCCTAAGCGAGGTGCCGCCAGTTCCTCTGCGTCTATGTGAGTCGCAGTCTCTGGCTGTGTGCAGGCAAACTACAGGGCCCTGCATGCAGCAGCCCTGACTGCCCTACCTTAAAATATGTGAACAGTCACTGTGATTCGTACAATAGAAGAGGTGAAAGAGTAGAGACCATGCCTAAGTAAACTAGAAAAGGGTAGAAGACATAAAATTTGCTTATACCAGCTACAGACAATGCCTCATTTAAGCCTCACAACATTTTAATCCAGAGTATCGTTATCCTCACTTTACAAAAGGAAAAACTGAGGTCCATGTGAGTTAAATATTTTATCTGAGACCAAGTAACTAGGAAATGGTAGAACCGGGACTTGAACCTCGCCTTGAATCCAGGTATGTATGGTTTCAAATGCCATGTACTTTCCTCTGCACCACACTGCCGGAGCCCAGAGAGAATGTTTGAAATGCTTACCAAAAATGACATCCTGTCTTTTGATGACATCCTTCTCCTGCCTACTACAAAATGAGGGGTCCACCACCAGACTCCAAGATTCTGCTTCAAACCCCTGGGCGTCACTGCTGAGGTCACTCCACAGAGACGAATCCACGACATCTAATGTGCGTTGAAGAAAGAAAAGAAAAGCCAGAAGTGGGTGAAGACACATAACACAAACAGACCTTCACAGGTGCCCATGTTTATGGATTCATCACCCTAAAGAAACCTGCTATGAACACAGAAACAACTAAGCCAAAATACTGTGATATGCAATTGAAACATCTGAAACCAAACAAGTGAAATGGTTCAAATCAAGATCGCCCTCATGGAAGCAAAGCAGAATCAGGTATTAAAATAGTGATTGTGTATATGCCAAAAATATATATATATACTGAAGATTCTTTTCTTTTTGACTTGCTCTATTTTAGTTTTATTTTTGGTAACCTGCAGAGTCCACGATGTCCTTACAGAATCTTAAACCCACTGATTTCTTTTGCCCTGGGTTGCTTTGCGCTGTTTACTCAAAACTGAATCTTGTACTTGTCCACTTTATTTGCTCTTTACTTGGCTTGCTGTCCTTAATATAAACATGAAGCAGGGTATAAGGCCTCCAGTCACATGTGAGTACAGATTTTTCTGATAGAATTTGACAACACACATATACCCCTTTCAGGAAAACTAAATTCTATTTGTCCAAACGGCACTCCTTAGAGATATTCTAGCTCAGAGGAGTCAAGATGTGAGGACAATGGATTTAAAATAAGCAGATTCCTGGGGAAGAGTCGACCCCCTTCTCTCATCACTACTCCCCCTTCATTTGGTTTTCCTTTGCCTATTAATAATGCTAGGATACAACAAGCAATTCCCCAGATTGTCCTTTCCAAAAACATGGTTTTTAAAAATGCTTTCATTCCCCTAGAAGTAGGAGGCAACATACGGGGATAAATATCTCAGCGATCCAGGCAAGTCCAGTCTTAAGTAACTGAAATATGTATTTTTAATGTATGATCCTATACCAATTCATCAATAGCTGTAAAACATTTTTAAAGAAGAACAAGCACATATTTCTTTCTCTTCATGATGTTTATGACATATTCTTTGGGGAATATGTCCCTTTAAAAAGATGCATCATGTTTCCTTGCTCACTATCTGGGAGTCTCCTCTGTGGCTCAATTTGCATTCTTTTTAATCAGAAGAACCTGTAGCTAAGTGACACCATGAAACAGAATTCTTTTAAAAAGAATAAAAGAAAACGTTTCCATCTTACATCCTTCAGAAAACATTCCTTTCGGCAAATGCTCACAGAAACCCAAGTAAATGCAAAGGCGTCTTCTCCTCACCTTCCATTAAGAAGGAGTCCGTGGAGGGAGGTGAGCCCATGGGCTGGAACAGCTCATCAGACTGAGACCTGCTTTTCCAGGTGCTCCCGTCACTTTCGGACTCCAGGGATGCCCCTGACCTCCTGAAGCTGGAAGGACAGGGAGAAAAGTCAGCCCCGGCAGCAGCTCTGAGACGTCAAGGTGTAAGACCACACTGAGCCTTACCTTTCCAAGGTGATGCCTGGAACGCTTCTGGACAATGGATGGACTTGCCCTGCTGCTTCCTTCCTCCCCGTCGGCAACCCAACAGGCATGGAGGAGGAAGGGTGCAAGGAGAGCCCAGGCGGTGGGACGTCTCTAAATGAAGAATCTGGAAATCAGAATGGATGCTTCATGAGGTTTCCATGGCGGGCAGTAATCCCAACGAGTAAAGATGGTCTCTTAAAAGCCAGAAAGCTGAACACTCCAATGGCCACTTCTAATGTGTCACAAGCCCAGACTTGAAACTAGTCTCCCTGCCACATCCCAACACCTGCTTCAAATGTCCCTTCCAGTTCACACCCTCCTGGTACCCAGGCTGCAGGCCTGCTTCAGCATATCCACTTGGAGACTGTGGGTGGCTGGAATTACACAAACAGACAAGAAAATGGAATGGGGAAACACTGGGACTGCTTGCCCATAAACCACTGCGTGTTCTCCCTAGAGCCAGCTTTAATTAGATACAAGGTGTTATTAGCACTATTACTAGAACGTACACTGTGTGTATAAACAAGCACACACACACACACAGAGCATGTAAACAATGCTGGGGCGTCTGTTCTTTATGGTATAAGAATGTCAGGCAGATGAAACCTTCAAGCCAAGCTGGGCTGTTCTCTCTCACATATGGAAAATGAAATGATGCCTCAGTACCTTTCTGGTCAGTTTGAAATGTTATGGGCATCCACGCATTTACATTTGATGTGTATTAAAAAGTGACTCTCCGAAAATATTTCAATCCTATGATATTATGTGCTTGGCACACACCTTTCTTAAGTAAAGGGGAAAAATACTTATATGGAACCCTAAGATACTACAAAGGATTCTACACATGTATGATTTAATGTTATTCCTAAGTTAAGAGGAGGAACAGATGGTATTCTATCAATTCTAAGACGCTTTTAAATTATTTTCATGCTTAACCTTATGAAATTGAGAAGTACGTTCCAACTGAGGTCGAAAGGACTTCTGGTGAAGAAGCAGGGGAGTAAACAATGTCACACTTGTTACTGCCTGCACTAGTTTACCCTTGCGTAACATCACACACAGTCACACGTCACCATTAATTTGCATATTTCATTGACCCCCGATTCAAGTGGCTTTTAAAACACTGGTCACACTACGGCAGCATTGAAGTGAAAAGTGACCACAAACTTAAAATGCCTGCCACAAGGCAAGCTATGTAATATTTGAGGCAAAAGAAATTGCAAAATTGCTCACATCAAATCAAAGGATTTTCACTCAGGGGGACACTGGTGTGACCCATCCTTGCGAGCAATGTAAAGACTGTCATGGACTGCCAATTATCTAAGAGAAATTGTTTACATTTCAACAATGTATTAATTCAAGAAAAAGAGAACCACTGAGTTTAAGCATATGCAAACAAAACTCAGGTATGCCCTGAAATTTCAACTGCCATCCTAATGCAGCTCATGAGATCACAGCCTCAGGCAAGGCTACTAAAAAGTATCAGGTTGCTCTGATAAGGAGCAACAGAGACTGATAAGGATCTATAGATTCTCAACTTGAAGACTTTTTCCTAACTTTGTGATTCTTAAGAAGCATATGGTATGTATTGGTCAAGATAAATATGTGCCACTGCTAGGAAAACATAAAATTATGTACATTTAACGTAGTGTTTCTCTTTTCCCCCAAGAGGCTGTTATCAATAGCGCAGCATGTATTACACCAGTTCGCATCTTAAAATTGAGGCAACATCATAATACCTCCTCCATTCAGCCTTCCCTAATATAAAGATCATATAGTACATGTAGCGCAAAGGCTAGTAGTCTGCCAGAGTTTATGACATTCTTGACTTCTTTGTATAACTAAAAATTATGCCAATTACACCCAGCATATGCTATGAAAGAAGCAATAATTGGGCAAATGAGAGAACAAAAGGATGGGGTATTTTACATTGGAAAAAATGTGTGTATGTATGAAACTGAAAAAAGTTCTTGCCGTTTTCCACATCACTTACTTCCAAGGATGGTCTGCGGTTTGTTCTTATTATATTTCACTTGGAATTTCTGTAAAGAACATTAGAAACGCAAAAAGTAAGATCAAAGCACCACTGGACTACAAGAATGTCCACAGTTACACAGAACAGGCTTCTCATCTGTACCATTTTCTTTGTTATTTTCTTTCAAACAGAGGAATTCAAAGCAAAAGACATAAAACACAACAAAGAGAAAAATGTGATGACAGTGAGATGAGCAAGTTATAAGGAAGGTGTGCCTCATGAGCACGTCTCAGCAAGATCCCAGCTTTAGTAAAAGCCCGATGGAACCGAAAATCTCCAGTTCCTGTGTGCAAACCCAGGCTCAAAAAGGAGTTCTTATCAGCACTGCCTTTCTCCTATTTGTTCTTTCGGTTCCTGGCTATTCCTCCAGCCTACAGGACACAATGACCTTGAACACTGGAATGTCATCCTCAACTCTGTGGCCTGACACAATGTGTGTTTCAAGTAACACAGAGTTGGGGACTCCATGCTTCCCTCTGAAGGATCATCACGCTCACTCATGTGCATTTCTGGCATGGCTTTAGAGTGGGAGACAAAGGACCGCAATGATAAATACCTCCATCTACTCAAGCCCACCCCCAAACACAGAAAACATTCCTCTAGTCCAGTGGGCCTTACACTGTGGTCCCAGGATCAGCAGCATCACCTGGGAACATGTTTGAAATGCAAATTCTCAGAATCCACCCAGACCTACTGGATGAGGAATTCTGGGAGCGGGGCCCAGAGGGTTTTAACAGGCCCTCCAGGCGAATCTGATGTGTGCTGATGGTTGAGAATTACTGCTCTAGACTCCATTTACATATGCTCAGGGTTTGCACTGGTAAACCAAGCAGGTCCTGACAGAAAGCCTAACCCACCCACATCATGTAGCGCAAATGGAGCGTTCCCTCTACTTCTACAAGTGCATAGTTAACTGAATAGGTATACACTTTGAGCATGTGTTATTTTATCACCACAACGACCACTTTAAAAATAAATCTAGACAGTAATAACTAGTAAATCTAAAAACCTAAACAGATAACGTGAAGCAACAAGCTGCATACAAGCATGTGATATTCACACACGACTGAGAGATTACCTTGGTACACGGAGAGGCGGCATCTTTACAGCCCTTATGTACATTTGCATTACAGTCTGGAACAAAAGGAAAAGATAGAAACGTGTCCATCTTATTTAAGTTAATCTGCAAAGTGAAATGCATATGACTACATCATGCTTTTAAGGGTCATTGTAAAAATAACACATAAACATTAAAAATATTTAGAAAACTTAAAAGGGAAAGAAAAAATATTTAAATCACGTGTAGCCCCACCACCAGAGCAGAACGTCTAGTAACGCTTTTTGCATTAAATTCTATTTTGCCTGCCTGATAATAACATGGCTACATCTGCTTTCTTTCCCTTAGTTTGTCTAAATACAAGTGTATCCTTATCCTTTTGCATTCCTCTACTTTAGATCTTTCTGAAAATTAAACCTTTAGATATTTCTTGTCAGCAATATAACGCTGTATTTTCTATAATCCATTCTGACAATCTGTTTTTTGTTTGTTTGTTTTTTGGCCGAGTGGCTTGTGGGATCTTAGTTGCCTGACCAGGGATCGAACCCGGTCCCTGCAGTGAGAGCACGGAGTCCTAACCACTGGACCGCCAGGGAGTTCCCTCTTTGTCCTTTTTAAATTAATATTTTTAGTTATTTGTATTTTATATACTCTTTTACAATTTATATGGTAATCAGTGCTCTCTTTGGATTAGTTTGTCCATTTACTTTGTGCTTTATATTGCTTTCTTTTCTATTTTTATTCCTCTCTGGCTTTTTTTGGATCAATTAAATAGTTTTTCTAATTACTTTCTTAATTTTTACAAGTATGGGACATATTTTTAGCTTAACAATTTTTACCCTAGATATTTTGACATTCATATTTAACTTAGTAAAATCTGAAATGAATAGCTTTACGGTCCTTCAAACCACACAAGGATATTTGAATATATGAACCTCACTTCCTCTCCCTCTCATGTGTTCACCTTGCTGGTTTAAGCCCAGCGGACAGTATTATTGTTTTACACTGTCAATGTTCTTCATTCTTTCCTGCTTCTCCCATCTTTTTTCTGGATTGCTTTTAGTGCATTCTTTAGAATTTCCTGAAGTTCTGTTGGGGGCACACCCTCTGTAGCCCTTCCTCGGTGTCCTTGGGGGACTGGTTCTAGGAGCCCCTGGGGATGCTCAAGTCCCTTATATAAAATGGTGCAGTACAATGAATACAGTCGACTCCCGTATGGACAGACTTAACTGCCGGTCGCACAGTTAATATTTTAGATTCCTTGGAGAGATTCTTCCCCTTCTGCACAGGGTCTTATCGATTATGAAACCTGAAATCATGCATGACATACACTTCTGTGTCTGCCTGAGAACTCATGTACTACTATATGCCCTATATTAGTAAGGGACTCCTGACATATGGCAACTGCCTGCTCGCGCCCCAGGGAAAACGCCTATGAAGACGGAAAGAAAGAAAATGCACAACAATGCTAGAGAAAATGTACTGTCAGGCTCCGAGAGAATTCCTACTAACTAGAGGAAACCAAATTAAAAGAGAAAAGTTAGCAGCTTGCCTACATTTTACTTCACAAAACAACGTGGCCGCATCTCACTGAAAGAAGTAAGGGAACACTTTGCCTGCCCCCTCGTGTCCGCAGGCTCAGAGAGCTCCCTGCACAGGGACTACTTCCTGCCAGGCTGCTGTCTTCTTGCCCCCTCTGCTCTCCCACCTTCACATCACCTACCACCACACCCTCATCCTGCCCACCCCACCCCGAGACGCTGAGTGCACATGGAGGAGCCAGAGGCTTATCAGAAACTTCAGGAGAAAAATCCTTCCACAAGGGTAGCAGGGCTCACTGAGGCCCGTCAAACAGTGACTGCAGCCCCTTGAGAATGGAGCAAGATGCTGAGCCCGCAACCTTCCTCCCGCTGTAGGTCTTCGGTGGCACCCAGCCAACACCTCAGTGGCCAGTGAGCAGAAGACAGGCTGGTCCACGTACTGGTCCTGCAGGCAAACATCAAAATGGCATGGCTCTCTCCTCACCCCAGAACAAGAGAATGAAAGGATAAGGAAAAAAGTAGAAGCTAGGAGGTACCACAGAACAAAGTTATACTGAAAACTCACAGGAAGAGGGAGCCACTGAATATTATGAAATCCAGAAATGGAGAAGAAAAATTTGGATATTTGAAATGTGTCCTCCCTAAGAGACACAAAACAGACATAAAATAGGACCAAAAGGCCGTGAAGGGAGTATAGGATGTGACCATAGGCCAACAGGATGACAGGGAAACGGAGCTTTGTGAGACGACAAAGTACTACAAGGAAGAAAAAAGAGCAAGAGGGCGGAATTTAAACCAAATTGAGAAGATTCGATGTGACAAAGTATCAAAGCAGTGCTATGAAATTAAACTTGAAAGAGTCCCTCCAGAATGTGGAGAAGAAGAAGTGTATAATTATCAAACAAGGCGTCATACAAATATGACAGATAACAGGTCACACTTCTCTAAGGAAGAAATCAGAAAAATGAGGTCAGAAGTAACAACTGACAGCCGCAACTGACAAAAACTTTTAGAAAGCTTAAAAAGAACCAAAAAAGGCAAATCAAAAGGTCTTACTGTTTTCTAGGAAAAAATCATTAAATTATACCTATTCTACAGACACAGTCTGACAATATCCCTATGATCAAAAAATTAAAAGTCCTCAAGCATCTAGGCAGAAAAAGCTGGTTACCAGCAAGGGAATGAGGACAGGCCGGCCCCAGAATTTTCTACTGTACTATAATATTAAATGCCCAGATATAAGGGACCACTGTTGGCAGAGTCTTGAGGGGAAAAGGTTTGACTGAAGAATTTATTTAGCCAGATAAAACTGGTTTTATTGTGTGAAAGAAGCGAAGATATACCCTTAGATACACAAGATTTCAGAAAACAGATTACTCCAATAACCTTCTTGGAAAAAAAATTACCTGAAATCCTATTGCCTATTAAAAGCAGAATCAAAATTAAGAGTTCAGAATGGATCAGCTTCATTGAAGGAAAAAAAAAAAAGAGCAAAAGTGAGCACTGAAACCAAAGAATCACATCTAAGAAATTATTGTTAAGTAGAGACACAGAACTGAATACAAATATCAAATTATTGTTGAAATAGAAAATTATTCCTGGAAGGTTAAACACACATTATAAAAGTAATAATAATGAATTCAGCATACTCACAGAGGCTAGGGGGAAAAAAGGGTAACTATAAGGGAAATAAGAGTATTCAATTATAAGCCTCACACAGCCTTAAAGTTATTATTAGTTAAGTCTTAAAAGAGCATATCTTGCCCAATCCCTGAAGAAGATAAAAGACAACAACACATGGTCTAAATAGCTGAACCAGACATCAAGGAAAACAGCAAAGAACTATAAAAGATAGTTGACAGTTGTAAAATTAAATGTAAATAAGGAAAAAACCCTTATAAAACAAGGTCTCTCAGTTACATTACAGATTACCTATAGCTAGATTAAAGACACACACCTCAAATTAAAAACACAGAAATAGGTAAGAGAAATACAAACAAAAGGAAAGCAAGAAGAATATTAATTTTAAACAAAGTAAAATTCTTATAAACGGCATTTAACCGCATTAGGGTAGTTTTAAGTTTATGAAAGTTAAATATGCAGTGAGGTTGTGATTAAACTTCTGTGCATCAAATAATGTAACATCAAAATATAGGTAGTGAAATCTATTTATAAACAAGGAGAATTTTATAGAGATACAATATTTGCGGAAAACTAGCAACTCAGGCTTTAATAAAGAAGAATACAGACACCAAGGTTTTGAATATTTATATTATTTGTTTTATATCATATTGTATTTTTAAGATTAGAAATGTTAATATTCACAATTTAAAAATACACCATGAAGTAGGATTATTTACCAATAACGGCAGTCTGAACGTTGTATTCTCCTACCCAATGTAAAAAACTTAATAACCAAAGTTTAAATGCCCAATACTACCTTCCCCTCAAAACTGTAAATCTTAAAACTTCTAAAAGACTATGGTTAAAGAGGAAATTAAACATATACTCAAACTGATTCTAGAATTTAATCTAAGGCAATGATCAAAGATGTGGGCAGTGATATGTGGAAAAGAATGCTCCTTGCAACATTATTTACGTTGTGAAAAAATTGGAAAAAACTTAAATGCACAACAAGTAAGGAACAATTAAGCACATTTGATATCATCAAATGAGACATTAGCATACAAAGCTGACTTTTTTAGTGATTAGGAGGGATTCCATAAAAATATGAATAGCAATTTTCTCTAGGTGGTAAAAGTCTGGATAATTTTGTTTCTCCTTAAACCTTGTATCTTCTATGAATTCTGCTGCCTTTTTAAAAAAAATTAATGACCATTTTAAAAGCTAAATATAATCTATGTACTTTCAGCAATTTCCATCTTCCACTAAAACTTTCATGACAACCCACTTGACCAACTCAGTATGAACCAACATATTCTGTACTGCATGAATTTGCCTTTCAGTGATCCCTAAGCTTTCAGTAATCATTAACTACATATGAGTGTCTAAGGGCCCAGCTTTGCGATAGCTGCTGTAGGGGATACAAAAGAACCATTATGTGACTACAGACCTCCAAGAACATAAAGTCTATGCTGGTAGTTAAAATCAGAAGAGGCTGTACATACCCCAGTATTAAACTGGATAGGATAAATAGATCCTAAGTGTGACGTGCAGGAACTCAGGCCACAGTGGTCAAGGAAGACCTCCCAAGAAGAGGCAAGAAATCTGGATGAAGTAGAGGAGCAGGGAAAACTGAGAGAGAGGAGATTATCGTAAGTGAAGGAACAGAGGCAGGAAAACATACACACTGGGAGAAAAGACAACAGGCCTGGCAAGGCCTCTGGTTGTAAACCAAGGCTGAACAGGGAAGTAACCGTAGGACTAGCCAGCAGGATGCAGGTAGAACCGAATGCACATCTGAAAAGCCTGGGCTTAGTCCAGTAAACAAAAAAGAGAGAAGTCCTCAAGCATATGTGTGCGGATGGAAGCAGTGCTTCATTAAGATTAAGGTGGTGAAAGTATCCAGAATAAATTGTAAGTGAAAATACCTAGAGAGAGGGGAAACTAGAACAGTTTGCTGTCAGCAGTCCAGAGGTGGTGATGAGAAGCCACCAGAGCAGGAACAGTGAGAAGAAATGAAAGAAGGACCACGTGGACTGGGGTGCCAGGAGGAAGAGGAACTAAGAGTCAACATGCCCAGCGTTCGAGCTGGTACCATCAACACAGCAAGAACAGCCTTCTGCATGTGGACTGTAAGGTCGGTTTTAGACACGTTGGTCTGGGAGACAAGAAGATCTTTGGGTGATGACGCCCACAGACAGGGTGTGACCGGGACAGTCTTGGTTTACACTGTAGCTCTGCCTTAATGCTCAAATATAGCCACAAGTTACATGGGGGCTCAGCCTCTCTCGGCAACCAGAAATATGGAATTAGAAAGTGAGCGATAAAGACGTGAATCTGGGAAGAACAGGCTTAAGTACAGTATTTTAGAACAAAAGACTGGATGACTATACTTAGAAACAATACCGAGAAAAGAACAGATGCCCAAGAACTGAGTCTGGAGGGTACTCAAAGTTAGGAGAAAGGAGACAATACAGGTGGTAAACAGAAGAGTAGTGTGCCATGGAAAAGAGGACATCTACCTACCCAAAGGGACAATAAACATGGAAACAGGAGAGAGATCAGTGAGTTTGAGAACAGTAACGAGGAAAGATGCTAAGGTCAAGGGCAAGACATCTGTTAAGTAGTGGGAACAGAGGCCAAAATCAGATGGTTAAGGAAGAAGTGGCAGGAATAGACGCCAGAGCAGTGAGTGGAGGTTGCCCAACTTGAGGAGTTTGTCTTAAAATGAGGGGAGGGAAAGGTCATGGATGTGGCTGGGGGGTACAGCTGAAGAGATCCAGCCCTATGAACAAGAAAAGAGCCACAACCGATGAAACATATGCCATCAAACCCATAAACTGACTGCTGACATGGGGGCAAGCCATTAACAACCCATGAACAGGGACTTCCCTGGTGGTCCAGTGGCTGGGACTCCACGCTCCCAGGGCAGGGGTCCCAGGTTCCATCCCTGGTCGGGGAGCTGGATCCCACAAGCCACAACTGAGAGTTCGCATGCCACAACTGGAGATCTCACATGCCGCAACTAAAGTGCCACATTCCACAACTAAAAAGATCCCGTATGCCGCAACTAAAACATCCTGTGTGCCGTGGCTGAGACCCAACACAGCCAAATAAATAAATAAAATGAATGTTTAAAAAAAAATCCACAAACAATACTTTTGGCAAACTTCTAAAAAATTAGCAAATTAAATCACAGCTGAACTGCTTGAGGCTATTTGTGTTTTAATTAGTAGACTTTATTTTTTAGAGTAGTTTTACTATTATTATTATTATTATTTTGCTTGATGCTATCTCAGGTCACATAAAAGAAAGAAATCAAGTCTCCAAGGAAAGCAAGGTTCAAGCATGCAGTGAAACTGGCATCATTAAAGACAGTGTGAATGGATACATTTAAATTTTTAATTTAATCATTTCTAGGAATTTAATGAAGAACTTTACATATAACCTTCCTCTGCTCTTCACCTCCCTTTGTACCCCCATCCCACCCCCCAAATGTTCCCCTAATTCTGGCCACCAACAAACACCATGAAATGGATTTCACCTGCCTGGGCCTAAATTCTTTTGCACTGAAATATTCTTTCACTCCATAAATATTTACTAAGCCCCTGCTATGCAAAAGCATTGTTCTAGGCACTGTGGATATAGCAGAGAACAAAATCAACAGACAAAAATCCATCCCTCGTAGAGTTTATATTCTGGTGAAGGAGACAGATAATAAAATTGACAAACAGAACAGAGAGTAAGTTAGATGATGTTGAATGCTATAGTGGGATAAAAAGGAGGAAAAGGGGGCAAATGAGCCAAGCAGAGGGTGGTCAAGAAAGGCCTGACTGGGGGGTGTTATCTGAAGCAGACCTGAAGGAGGTGAGGGGACAAATCACACAGCTAACTGAGGGGAGAGCACTGCAGGCAGAGCGAACCGCAGGAAAGGCCCCATGGCAGGAGCATGCCTGATGCCCGGAGTATTGGAAGAACAGCAAAGATGCCAGAGGGACTGAAGCAGAAGAGTGGGAGGAGTGAATGACAGGAGAGATCACAGCAGCCACTGTCAGGGCTCTGGCCATGCTCAGGATGACAGGAAGCCATCGGAGGATCTGGAACACAAGGACAAATGCCTTGACAAACTCGCTCGGACTGAGATTTTGAGAACTATGCTTTTTGCAGTAAAATCACAAGGAGACCAGTTGCAAAGCTACTGAAATGATGGCTTTAGACCAGGGTGATAACGGTGGCAGGGGTGAGAAGAGGCTGACTTCCACATATATTTTGAAGATAGAGCCAGGAGGAATGCTGAAGAGTGTGGCACTGAGACAAAGAGAGGTATATAGAAATACTCCAAGGTTTTTGGCACGAGCATTTGGCTGGAATGATGGAACTGCCATTAAACTGAGAGGGTCAGTTTGTAGGTGGGCACAGAGCGGGGAGAACGGAGCTCCGTCTGAGAGGCTGTTTAGACATCCAAGTGGAGACATCAGAAGGCAGTGAGGTGTAACAGTCTGGGTTCTAGGAGAGACTATCGCCTGTGGACACAAAGTACTGACTCAACCGTCCTGGGTCACTGCTTGCTGATGGAACCACACAGAGACGTGAAAACAAAAGTCTCCATGAACACACTGAGAATGCTGCACTGGCAGTATTCTCAGGGAGCTTACTGTTTGGGACGGCAAAGCACGCACGAAGACAGCACACACGGGGCCCAAGAACTTACTGGAACACTGGAACGACTCTTTCCCCAGGAGCGTTTTATCACAAACCAAACACTGTAGAGTCCCAGAAAATGTTCCAGGGACAAACTGATGTCGACTCAGTTTCTCTTTGTCTTTGGCATCCTTGCCTTTTGTCTTTAGATGTGGCAGCAGCAGCAAAGTGGGGAGAAAAGAGAAATGCTCAGAGCCAATTGACTTACAAAAGTCATACAAAGTCTCTACGTGTTCTATCAGGACAGAAGGGCCACACACCAAGAAGTGTGATAATGTCAAAATGTAACAGCACCCAGGATGAAGTGGTCTCAGTATTTTCAATGACTTGGACAATATACCCCATAAGGAATACAGAGGTTTTTAAATATGTGTGTACAAAACCTAAGGTAAATGGTTTTAAAGGGAAAGTGGAAACTATACTAATTGCTCAGAAGCTGAGCATCTACGCTTTATAGACGATAGGCATAAAACCTTAATTACCTTAGATTTATTCCGAGGGCTGGTCATCCTGTTCATGAGGAAGCTGAAAGTTCGGCTCACTTTGTACTTTTCAGACTCTGATTTGGCAGGTATGATGTATTTATCCCATTCTTCTTCCTGAATTCTGCAAAAAAGAATCTGTTATCACAGCTTATAAAACTTACCAGAGGGAGCAAAAGAGAGCAGTCATACATATGTGTGTGTATGTATACAAACACACAGATGTATTTTGTACATATTATTTTTACACATATATATTTTTCAGGCTTTAATGGTTATTCTAAAGATAAGGATAGAACCTATTAAAAATATATCTTATAGATGAATAGGTGGATAAGTGTATGATAAAGCAACTATCTCACAATGTTAACACTTACAGAATCTAAGTGGTGGAAATAGGTATTCTAATATATAATTCTTTCAGCTTTTCTGCATACTTTAAAATTTTCATATTAAAATATTAGAGAAATAAAGGAAATCTTACACTTATAATTTTACTCCGAAAACATTCATCTCCCTGTTTACTAGGCTAATAGAATTTTCTTAGCACATAGAAGCCAAATAACCAACGACATCAAACTGGATTTTATTTATTTTTAGAACAGAGATAATACTCAGCAGACACACATTTCCTCTGTCAATAGAGCCTGAGAAACAGACTGTCTGCCTCATGGTTCCATCTCCCCCACTCAATCAGGCTATTTGCAATCTGAGACTCTAGGTTGCAAAGGAGAGAACATTGTGGAAATTCCCCCGAAATAAGAGGCAAGTTAGAGGTAATTGTACCCAACCTGTGAACACACTGAACATCACTGATTTTCCTCTAATCCACAGAATCATTCTTTAGGGAAAAAAAAAAATCCCAGCTATGAAGAGGAAATTTCCCTGGAACTTTTATATTTCCCCTAGAACTTTCTCTGATGGTCTTGTATTCTAACATTATTACAAAAAGAGAAGGAGAGACTGAATATATTAAAGACCAGCAAAAGCATCATGTCAAACCAGATAACACTTCTGTAGACAATTTCCAAAATGAACATTTCATAACCCATGTCTCTCCTATCCCTCAATCTTCTTACTTGTCAGCATTAGTGGCTAATACATTCATCTCTGGGAAATACCTTCAAAAGCAGTCATACTATTGATATGCACCAAAATACATATGATTACATTTTACAAAAACGACTTAAAAGACAACTTCTAGGACTTCAGTTTTTCTCATCTGATCAAAGACTAAGTTATTTCTAAGGCCCTTTCTCACGCTTAAATATAATAAGTACTTAACTGGTACATATTAAACAAAACTAAGTTATTTGACCTCTATATTAGGTAATTGAGAGTTCAAACCTCAGTGAATGCATTTAGCATGAATAATAAATTACTTCAGAGCTACCTCTTGGTCACGCAGGTATAGTCAGGACAGTGGGTGTCCTGCCACTCGAACCCTACACAGTTCATGAAATTGGGTTTGCTACTGAGAGAAAACAGTTGAAAAAGTTAGAAAGGAAAGATGGAAAACAGAAGTGCCCTATACTACTCAGAAAAACACAAGGAACTTAGACCCTCTTACTTCCTTTCTACTTCCACAGCCGCCTTCTTAGATAAATCACTGGTTAATATATCTGTAAATTTCCATACCTCTTGTGTCTTAGGCATCCTAATTTGCAAAACTCGTAGAATAATATTCAACAGGCTCACTTTTGGAATGGGGAAAAAAGCACACTTGACAGCTGAGAAAGAATCCTCTCTGGAACACTTTTTTGGGACCCCACCAAGAGCCACCCAATGTCTAAGAGAAGAAAAATATGGGGCGGAAACCTAAATCTCAGAATGGAAGAACGATAAGGTCAATGTGATTTTTGAGGTGAAGAAGTCCTCTCCCCTACTTCCCAGCAGGAACACAACTACACTCTCTCAAATGAAAGAAAATGAGTTCCTCTTTACCAGACTCTACTCCCAACTCCCTATGCTACAGAAGACTGTATCAAGAACAATGTTACAGTTTTGATTTAAAACCTACAGATGCACTGCAATTTATTTTTAAAAAAAGACATAAAATCATACCACTTAATCTTTAATTCCAAAGGTTGACAAGAACCGAGATGACAAAGTAAACAAGACAAACAAAAAAACTGAAACACTAAATATTAAAAACTCTGAATCATCTAACCTGGTAGACATGTGAATATCACAGACATGACCCACTTTCAGATTATCACAATGGGAAACACAGTGTAACTTCTGGGCAGATGCAGAAGGTTGGTTGATTCCATGTTTCAAATCTAATTTAACTATGTGGTATTCACTTACGTAAAAATTAGGTACTTTAGAGAAAAACTCAGAAAGGAAAAATCCTCAACTGATTTCACAACAGAATGTAAACAGCTTTTCAATTTATAAGAATCTGGAAAAATTTACTTAAACTCTTTCAACATCCCAGAACAAGAATGCCTAACTCTGTTATCAATTTGATGACCAATGGAATTACCCACAATAAAGTTTTACAAGCCCCATTCTTCAGAGATTCTTGGCATTACCTTTTCAATAGGTAAACAGATATTTTAAGTATCTTAATAATATGGATATAGCCTCAATATCTTAATCCTTAACGTATTATATCTATAACCTATTTTTTAAAAGAACTGGGCATCTAAGTATTTAAAAAGCTCCAACTATCCAAATTGAAAACTGACGCAGGTGAAACTTCAACTTTGAACAGCCAGATTCTCATTTTCTTAAAAAAAATAAAAGGTAACAGATGTATCAGATTTAAGATAGATGGTGGCAATAAAATAACTGAGTTGTACCGTATAATCCTAAGATGGGATAGATGAAGTGCCTGCTCCTATAAGAATGAGCCTGCAAGGTCTGGAGTGAGCCCCCCTTTTAGCTGGCTGCACTCTTTTCCAGAAACGAAGTGATCAACATAAATAAGGGAATTCCAAAGGCGGCAAACCCCCAAGCAAATGTCTATAGCATGACCAAAGCAAAGCATTAGGTCTAGCCAGGGACCTTACTGGTGTATCCAACAAGGTATCAGGAACATAGTAGGGGAGATGGAATATCTACTCTACTAGATACACCAGGGGATATGACTAAGAAAGTCAGATGCTTTCGGGATGCAGACCCAAGACAGACCCAAGAACAGGAAGAAGAAAACAAGAATGAGGAATATGAGAAAAATATTCATCCCATCCAATACATCCCTATACACCTCATCCAAGTTAACACATTTTATAGGCTAACATTTAACCCATTCTGACATTGGCTCTTCCAGTCTTAAATCCCTCTCTTAATGGAAAATATTTTTGATTTTTAAAAAATCCTTACAATCAGTCTATTACTGCTCCAATTGTTAAAAAGATAGCAAGGATAAGACTTCTAACCAGAACGATGACCAGAATGATGAACCAATTCCAGACTTAGTCAACAAACCGCTTAAATGAAGTAATAAACGTAAGCAGCCTAAAACAGTGCCAGGCACATAAAAACACCCAACAACGGTCAGTTGCTGCTGCTCCCGCTGTCACCATCATCATTGCCCTGATGTCCTTTTATCATCAGCTTATTCTCAAAGGGCATTCTTAGTCTTCCTCTGTTTTATCGTTTCAGAATTTCTATTCTGGTCTCCAAAAAATAGGAATGAGCAAAAGGAGATTTTTTTTTTTTTCCTTCTTCTTCATCCTTTCAGTCCAAGATTTAAAGCAAAATAATCCCTCTTGATCTATATAGTAAAAGGTTTCAGAGTTTGAGCATTCATAGCACCCAAATTAAAACCATTTTCCTCCTTTTCCCATGGTCTCTCAAAGCCAAGCACTTATACCATTTCTGACATAACCCCAGGGCTATTTCACAGTGTGATTCACGAGCATTTAGTTTCTCAAGACCAACAGAGCGCAGCAATCCAGCCTGTTGCTAGTCAGCTGCCCAAGTTTTACTCTAAGGACAGTTTCACCTTCTAGGGAAAAGAGCAGCTTAGGCATACAGCTTTCAAATCTTCATATTAATCAGAGAACTCATAAGGCTCAAAGCACTTTCTGCATCATTTATTCTTTGTTTCACACTTAACACTTCTAAGCGATACTCTACGACGACAGACAGCAGAGATGTTTAGGCACTTTCTAAAACTGACCCCGGGGGTCTGTTACCACAATAAGTCTTCTGTCGTAGTGGACAGACCTAGTGAGAACCTGATACCTTTCTAAAGCAGATGGTCTCATACTGCTCCGCATGCTGCCGTGCATTGGAAGTGTTTGGCTTTGAAAATAACCCCAGACCACTCTGTCCCCGGTCCTGAGGCCTGTTCATCTGGGGACCGAAAGGAACAGCTGGCAAACCTACACCCATACAGATCGCAAAGGGTACAAAGGATTCAGGCAGACTCATTAGGCAGAAACGTCTCACAAACTATTGAACGGGTATCAAAAATGAGGTGCACACATTTCCAAAGATGGATCAAGCAGTCCCTGAGGAAATTTGGAAGGGTTAAAATACCTTTTTTCTCTTGGTGGCTCCGGTAAGCTGTAAGCTCTTTGCTCTACAAGACACAGAACAATAAAATGAAAACGAAGGCAGACAAACTAGCAGTCGTGTGCTAGTCTGAAGTGCACACACTCAACCGTACATTATCGTTACACGTACCACCAGTTAGAAAATAATGAAAAAAGTCATTTTATTTGGGCATTGCTCTGGATATTTTTATCACCTTCCCTAATTTGGAGAGAACAGGGAGGAGGCCAACACAGGGAAACATTTAATGATTTTGTGAACTAAGTTAGCCTCAGCAAGGGGCAGCAAACATTTTCAGAAACGCAGAAAATCAGTTCTATGTTTCTGGATATTTCTCACCAGAGCGTCATCCCTTATTCGTAACACTAATTCCCCAACGTACAGAATCAAAAAATATCTTAGCGGCTTTTTAGCAAAGCTTAAAAGAAAAGTCTTGAAGGCCAGCCTAAGGAAGAGTCCATTTTAATGTAGCTGTAATGCCTTTACAGAGCAGCCAGTTCGGAGATGTGCTTTGTGGCTCACGAGAAAGGGAGAGCCCCTCCTCCATTGGACTGGGGTGGCTGGGTATAAGGGGCAGGCTCATGCAAGCAGCGTAGCGCCATCTTGTTTCCCAAACCGGAGTACTTACTACAGGGATGGAGCAGAGACACTGATTTAGACAGTGAGAGAGACTGAAGGAGGGAACGGCCACTGTGGAGCACACCATCTACAGAGCAGGGACAAATCCTTTACCGTTACAATCCGGAAGAGTGAAGAGGCAAAACTAGGTTGCAAAGGGAGATAGGCCAGATATATACAGGGGAAAACTAATGAATACATATCTCCTGAAATGTGGAAATATCAATGTTGAACCCAAGACTATCTTGTAGGTAACAGAAAACCTACTCTGAAGAATTCGAAGACTTTTATTTTATTGCCGTTAAATATTCTTCAAATTAAGTCATGGGCAGAAATCATTATCCTTTTTGTATACAGACTGAGGTGTCAGGAGAATAAACCATATATCCCAAATAATCAAGCTAATAAAGTAACAGAATCAGACTCAGACTATTGGACAAAGTCTAACAGGATTCCATCCCTCAGTGCACAATAATTTTCAAAAGTACATTCACTTCACTCCTCAAATTTTTAAGTGTAGAGCACTTTTGTCCATCTTGGTGATGCTGTAATTATCATTTTAACATGGAGAATATTCCTTTCTATCTAAATCCATGATGTACCCAAGGGAAATATAGGATTGGATTTTGTTTTATATATAAAAAGCATTAAATAATAAAGTTGCCACCATTGTACTCTTGGCCCCCTCAAAAACAACAACAAAAGCATGATAAATGATCGTAAGTAACCCTCTGAAAGTGACAAGAAAGAGAGGACATCACAAATAAGTATAAAAAAGGACTGAAAGACTATCCTGTCTCTGTATATCTGTATTACATCAATAGCTCATTTACGGGCATTTTCCACTGAGGAAGGAAGACTTGGACTCTGTTCAAATAGAAAAAAATTTTTAGAACTATTCAAAACTCACTGAGAGAGGATTTATAACAACACAAATGTCAATTTACCTCTGATTAAGCAGATTAAACAATGAAACATTAGAATACATCTTTGAAGTAGTCAAGCTTTCACACCTGTGCTTTGATCACACACACACAGTTAAAATTATTTTTTCTTCCTTAAGAGCTAATTTATTCTTCACAGTCCTATGATTTTGACTGACCTAAATGATACCAATCCAAATGTTTGCTACCATAGAGGAATATCCATTGGAATTTTTGTACATTTAGTGTGTAGCCTCAACCTAAATTGCCTGTTTGTAATACTTACCTCCTGGAGAGTGTCAAACTTCATCCAATAGCCCTATTTTTAAACATACTGTCTAAAGACAAGCTTTTATTCACAGAAAAAACAAAGGAATTGATTTCAGCTTTTTATTCTTTCTAATTCAAACGCGAAGATTTAAGGAATGTATGTAAAGCAAAAATACCCTCCCTTATTCATTAAAGAATTCATAAATCAGGGCTCTTTCCCCTTATAAACTATCCATTTTTCTCTCAGTCGTCTGAGATTTCAAACATCAGAACTGTCGGAATTTAATAATCAGAGATACTACAGATATAAAGGCAAAGGCACCATTTTGCACACTGCACAAAGACTTAAAAGTGTTTTCCAAATAGTTACAGTACAAAGTTAATTCACCATCTCTAAGCCTATCAGTGAAAAGGTGTCAAAGCTGCCATTAAAAGGAATCCCAACCTAAACTAAGGTTAGGGAGACCCGGAGATCCTAGAAAGACTTATGGTATTGAAAAAACATCCAGGGCAAATTCAATCCTCTTCTACTCCTGTCCCCTCAAGGTAGTTGTCTCCTTTCTTTCTCTTGGTCCTTTCTCTCCATCTTCCCATTCTAAAAATCAAAACTGACATTTATTATCAGTCCTGTTTTCTCTTTCTCCAAAAAGACATCCCAGAAAGAAAAAGGAAAAAAAATGCCTTGTAGCACTTCTTTTGTATTTTATGTATTTTGTCTGCTACATTCATTCAACAAATATTGATTGAACATCTCCATACATTGGACATTGCTTTAGGATGGCAGGTCCAAGCACAAAGATTATGCTTTCACTGTTGTTCCACATGGCATAAGGATGCAAAAGAATGGCAATGTAACAAAGCAAGAATAAGAAAAAGGGAAAGGAAAAGAAGGAGTAAAATAAATCCTATTTTAAATATTCTATGCTGGGAAATTGAGAATACTTAAGCACATCTCTCACTTTCTGAGTCTTCTAAGGCTCTTAAGGATAACAGACAAAATAAGGCATTATCTAATATATTGACAAAAAATTTGTTATAATGCTATGTATTACAGATTGACATTATTAATACTTCCAAATACAGCTTTAAATGTAATTATTACATAACAAATGGTACACAGAAAGTGTTAAATAATTACATTCCAGAATTAAGTTGAAAATTGGGGTAGCGGCTAAGAAGGGCTACAAGGGCAGCTCTGAGTTGCCACAATTGTTCTATTTATTGATCTCAATTCACTTTTGAAAATTCATCAAGCTACATGCTTATAACATGCATCCCTTTCTGTAGGTATACTATATTTCAATTAAAATTTTATTGTATAAAAGTTGTATTTCTGATTGCTTACGCAGGCCACAAAAAAATGTTTGAGATATATTTACTTGCGTTTCAAGTATGTTCTGTTATTTTAACTTTCTAAAGTCCCTTGTTAAATAAAGAAATGAAGACAATCCATTTTGCAATGCTTTTGCAACTGTGAGGAATTGGATTATTTCAGCAATTTATATGTAGGACAAAAGTAACTTTTATAACTTCCTTAAATAAAATTCCCTAAAGCCCTCACAATAAAGAACCTAGAATAAATCATAGTTTACACTGTCCTTGAGGAAAACATTTTATTCAAAAAAAATAAGGCAACAGAGAGGTGTGTACACATCTGTGATTTCATCAAAATCAAATTTATACCTTGTCTGATATCCAATGAGAAAAGGATTTTGCTAAGCTTAGAAAAATCAATAGTGAAAATGAAATTGAAAATACTAGCCTGCTGCTCTTACATACTATACACTTTTACTAACTGAAAATCCACTCTAGAAAAGAATGCTTTCACAGCCAAATGGTAACTAATGCTTACCTTCAGCTGAATTGCACACTGTAAAGTCACGGATCAATCGAGTTTTTCCTAAAGAAATTTTGGGTGATGAGCAGGAATAAGAACGTGAGCGGACTCCAGAAAACAATGATTCCTAAAAGAAATCATAACGAAGTTTTAAAAAAATTCTATGGAAGACTTGAAAGTATGTGTTCATCATCAAAATCAGAACCTTTAAAAAAAGGATTCAACTTGAACATTTCTGAGGTAATCTTATTAATGATTTGTTTCTGTTTGCCTCTCACAACTTTAAAAATGTTATTGTCTTTTTAATGCTTTAGTAAACTTGAGCTTTTGGGAATAGTGTCTATATCTCCTATATACTTTAGGATACAATCATGACATTCCAACCATGTTGGTTAAAAGTGAAAAATCAAGTCACATGACTTTCTCTGCGTATTCAACGAGTTTGACTTTTTTTTTAACCTGAGTTGTCACTTACTTTTGTTACTTTAAACTGTAGCATTTAAGCAAAATTCCATATTAACTGAGATCTCTATACATAATTATTAGAAGGTAGAGGAACAGTCACCTAAAATGACAAGTTTTTAAAAGTTCCTAATGGCTATTCAAGTTTGTAATGTTAGCTGCAGCCTCCAGGAAAGAATGCATCAGGTCATTACACAAATCCTTCTAGTCTGTGCTCATCTTTCAACAGACCTTCCATCCAGCACTTCCTGGGATTTTGCTTGAATTATCACTTATTTATATATGTTCAACTTTATTTCTTTTAAATGACCTGCTATTTTTTTCCTGTTTTCCCAATTACCTATTATTTCTATTATTATATTGGCAACATACATGAAAAATGCAAGCTGGATAGATAATTTAAAAAATGCTTTTCTTACATGTTCTAGAAAATTTAAATGAATACACAATAGAATGCCACTAAAGCCATTTACGGCACCCAAATCCCATCCAACGGAGGCCTAGTGGCCTTAGGATTGATGCCCACCCCCATCCATTTTTAAGATACCACTTAAGGTTACAGGTGAAAGAAAGTGGTGCAAAATGTGTTACTAAACTTAAGCCATCAGCAACTGTCCTCACAAGCACTGTTCTCTTTTTCTCCCTAAGTGAACGCACATGGTTGCCCTAGGCTTACGGTTTAGTTGAAGAGCCTGGAGGAAAGTTGAAAACAGAAGCCTGATCTTGCTTCAAAAGGTCTTAAGCCATGGCTCCCTGACTTACTTATTGGGAAAGACCCAGTGGGCCTGGATGTCAGAAAGGCCAACCCGAGTTGTCCTATAACCCTAACAGTGAGTTGGCCACAAAGGGCCCTAGCCAAGTACCACCCTCTGCCTTTAAGTCATGCATGGTAATCATTTTTCATAACAGGACTTTGAAAATTATCCAGAATTCTTTGGCAAAAAGTTACACAGGGTAATTACAGAGGCAAGGCAAGACATATTTTATAGGACAGATTCTTCTTAAAAGTGAACAGCATGGAACTGTTTCACAAAGAATTACTTTTCATTCCAAGTAATGATGAATTTTTCACAGTTCCATTCAAAATGCAAATCTGAGAAGTAGCTACATTAACAACCATACCTATTTCTTATTATCCAGAAATATCACATGACCTTTAGGTTCAGAAGATTATGACAGCTCCACAGGACTCAGAGCTGAGGGAAGAGGATTCAGGATCCGGGGTCAGAAGGCCTAGATTTGAGTTCTGACTCTATCACCAAGCTTGGGCAATGTGGACATCTAATCTCTCCAGAACTTCAACTGATCAAAAATTAAAATAAAAGTACTCCCTTATATCCTAGGTGAGTTATGAGAAAATTAAACATTTTATATAAAAGCATGTTTTGTATATCGTAGAGAACACTACAAAAATAAAGCATTACCATAACCACCATATGTTTGTGGTATGAGACGTTTGGGCACAGCACACATTGTTTTATAGTAGTAAACTCGATTGAAAAAGAAAACAAGTGGACAACAGAAATCAAAAAGAAAACATAGGTCCAAACAGAAAAGGGCTTTCTCTGCAAGACTGGAAGAGTTTAGTCTTTTTAAAAACCACAACAAAATGAAATTCCAGTGCAAAAATGCCAATGACAGAAAAGCTGTCTCCTATGGAAAAACTGACAAAGGAGACATCTGGTGTTCCAGATGAGTCCCTGCAGCCAGGAACGCTCAACAAATGTCACCTCTGCCTTAGCAATATTATTTACCTTAACACCAGTGCCAACTAAAATTTTATGTGTGCAAAACAAGTTTGATCACTTAAACTCACTTCATACTACCAGCTTTTCTCCCATTGCTTAAGGGGTGATGGCAGAAATCACAGTATAAAATGGTAAAATTTTCCAAGTATGTGAAAGATTATCTGTATTCGTGGTGATTCGTGAAAACAAATCAGCCATTGTAAGTAAGGACTATACATATTAGAGTGGGAGAGAGGAAAAAGGCAAGCTCAGGCAGCTCACGGGTCTTCAAAAAAAAAAAGTTTACACATGTGACCATAACATAATTTCTTTCAGGGATGGGTGGATTTAGACAACATAGTTTTCAGGCTTACGATAAACCAAATTAATACCAATAAGAATACCTTCAGCTGCAGGCTACTTGATAAAGAAAGTGATTCAGTCCTGGAGATATTAAAATCTGGTTCAGTGTTGGTCTCAAAAGAGTCCAATTCATCCCCACTAGGAATGCCAGTTCTCGAGGAACTCTGAGACACTGGAGTGTAGCAAATGCGCGACCGCTCGGAATGCCCCTCTCCTTCACTGTCAGCATCCAGGGCATCAAGGCTGGAACTGGACGGAGCACAAAGTAAACAAACAACTAAATCACCAAGTAAGACAGAGCCAGGGGTTTCTTTTTTTTTTTTTTTTTTGGGGCTGCGTTGGGTCTTTGTTGCTGCTGTGGGCTTTCTCTAGTTGCAGCGAGCGGGGGCTACTCTTCCTTGTGGTGCACGGACTTCTCACTGCAGTGGCTTCTCTTCTTGTGGAGCACAGGCTCTAGGCGTGCTGGCTTCAGTAGTTGTGGCATGCAGGCTCAGTAGTTGTAGCTCACGGGCTCTAGAGCGCAGGCTCAGTAGTTGTGGCGCACAGGCTTAGTTGCTCCATGGCATGTGAGATCCTCCCGGACCAGGACTCAAACCTGTGTCCCCTGCACTGGCAGGCGGATTCTTAACCACTGTGCCACTGGGGAAGTCCCGAGCCATGGGTTTCTATTTCTCTGAATTCAGATTTTCTCATTGGCGTCAGCTGCAATGGGCACCCATTTAATATCTAACAAAATTCATGCTTAAGTGATTTTTATTGTTTTTTTCTCCCCCCAAATAGCCTCTTTTTAAACAAGATTTTGTTTCCCCAAATGAACATTTCAACCTAGCAAAAGCCACTTCAAGTGCTCTAAGAAACAAAAGCTGGTTCAAGTTAGTACTATCCTCACGATTTTTGCTTTGTAAATATAATTATTACAAGCCCCAAATAGCTACCCTTCAAATATTAAAAACACAGACAAAACAGAGCCACTGAGCTGTCGGGGGTGGGGGGTGGGGGGGGCAGGGGAGGGCCTTTGGGGCAATTTGCATGTGAAAAATACCACGTGGCATTCCCTCTTTCACCCCTGGACAACACAGGAGGGTGGAGGCACACGTAAGAAAACAAGGAGAGACGTGCAAAGATCTCATCCCAGAGTTGGTGTCAAGAAATGGGTCAGGCACGAGTCAAGTGAGGTTCCAAATATGTCACATTCAATTATCATTTTTAGAGATTTAAAAAAATGATTCCCATGAAACTTATATGTCAGAAACAGGTGGTGATGCTGATTATCTACTGCTTTTCTTTCATCATTTAACTTTGATAACCATAAAATTAAAAGGCAAGAATTTGACCTTGCACATTCCTGGCTCCTTCCATCCATCTACATTTTAAACCACTCAAACTTTGAGGCCGAGGGCTTCCACAGGCATGTTAATGCACAGTGCATTTTTAAATGTATTTTTTCTTTGGTTGTTACAATTCTGGAGTTAAAATTTTAATAACAACACAATAAACCATCTTGATTTTGAAACACAAAGAACCAGAAACAGACTTCAAATTTGGTTATTTTCCTTAAAAAACCATAGGCTATTTAATGGCCACTGAATCTCAATAAATTATATGGCATTTGGAACAGAGATCCTACCATATATGTCTCTAATCCAAATACTCAGACTCATCTCTAATCCTTGAGCTATTTCAGGGTCCCTCCTGGGCACCAGCAAACCCAGCAGTAAAGGCCATGATCGTCACCACTGAGGATTTCCAACGTGGGGCTTTCTCCTTGGAGAACTCATTGAGGGCCTCCACCTTGACCTTGGGGAGGAGAGGACAAATTGGAGGTGGACTTCACACTTTAATTCAACTCCTAAAGATGGTGGAGAGCATAAAGTTATTTCTCATAAAAAAAAAAAAAACTAAAGCTTAGTTAAGAAAACCTTTCTGGTAAATGCTGATGCGTTGACTCTTACAGTAATGTAACTACAAATATTTTAAGGTGCTATGTAGGTTCCTTAGTTCAGTGATGATCAGAAAGAGACCCGGGGTGGGAGTGGAGGGGAGATTTGCTGATGTCTTGTGCCTCTGCATTTGTCTTTCAGCTTCTGATCGCCATACTAATGAAAATTAGTTCAAATGGTTGGCTGCCTACGAGAATATCGTGTTTTAACACAAGCCTTTCCAGTTATATACAGCATTTCTCCATCACTATGAATACAGTGTATTTTATTTTATTCTTTATAGTATACTTTAAAACATTCCTTTTTCTATTCATTCAAACTGGGCTACTATTTTCCTTTGTTAAGCTATTAAGCTAAGATATTTGGTATCAAATAATATTATTTAGAATAATAATATCCTTCAGGGTTACCTCTAGGTTTCTCATTTTATAACCATTTTTCAAAACCCCATTAGTGGGATATGAAATAGATTCAATAGGTTGTGACCAGCATTTTCTTTTCAAATAGTATAGAATAGAAAAAAGCAGAATATATAAAATAACATGTGGAATGTAACATTTGTTTAAATTTTATGTGTGTGTGTGAGGGGAAGGTTCATGGTATTACAAGGATTTCTTTTTAAAACGAAAAAGAAATTCTTTTTTTCTTTCAAGAATTCTTTGTAAGACAAAAAAGGTTTAAAAAATGTAAGTTTTAAAACAAACACTTGTCTTTTATCACCAAATTTTTGTGACATAATTTTTAAAAATAAATGTTGCATTGCTTATTCTCCCCTCAGTTTTTATTGTGAGCCCCAAAATTTCTCCTTCATGAGAAGTTCCCAGCCTCTGGGAATAAATTCACTTATTAATGAATTGGGTGCATTTCACTTTGGGTTCATTATCAATTGTTCCTTGTCTTCCACCATGACACCCACTGAAGGGAGGGTCCCACGGCCATGCCAGGGCCAAGATGGAGCTTTCTGGGGAACTCAAGTCCTTTCTCCTCACTCCGTTATTTTTCAGAGGAGACGGAATGTACAGGAGGTAAATTCAGAAGGGACCATTTTCTCATAAGACATCATCATCCTCTCCTTATTCCCTCCCCCCACACCTGAGCTATGACATTTTTACAGAGGCTTCAAATTACCTTTACTCAAACTGGACAGTTTTTCTCATATTCAAATCCATCTGCAGCAGTGGGATGTTTAAATGTCCCAGAGAAGACCACGATCAGAAGATACAATTTAGATATCCTGTGAATATTTGCATATGCAGTACAGAGAGCCCATCTGTGGCTTTTCCTCCTTTTCGCTAGAGAAGCTCCTATAAAGAGCTTATTCACCTCTTGAGATCTGGGTCACAAACTCAACAGATCTTAAAGATCCTGCCAGAATGCATTAATCACATGGTTCAATCTGTCTCTGCAGAGCTCTGGAGAACCTTGCCTTGACCGTCAGCCTCTTGTCCCAAGCAGATTTGTGGAGAGCCCAAAATGTCCCATCAGTTCAATTTGCAGCCATGACCATGCAAGTATCTTTAAAACCATAATTCACACAATAAAAATCTAGAGAAAATCTTTTATTATTTATGCACCAGACATTACTCTTGGTACCGATATCTGTTAAAGTTTTATAACCTCAAGTTATTGTATATCAGTGCAAAGTGGAGCCCAGTGATTGGCACCCAGTGACTGCTGCTTCCCCTCCCTTTCACTCCTTTCTGATTAAGCCTCTGTAGAATATTCATTCAGATAAATATTTATATACACACATATGTGTGTGCATTCTATTTTCATTTTGATTCATAATTTTATGTGTAAAACTAGACATATAATTAGAGGTCTAAGGCATGAGGAGAAAACAAGCTATTTCCTTAGGAAAGTAGAGAGAAGGATAAAATGAAATCAGTAAAAATGGGCCTATTCCCTAAAGAAAACAGACAACAGTACGAACGGATAAGACGTGAATACAAAGGTACAGGGTCACACACACACATACACACACACAGATATATATAAATATGTACAGTCATATCCTATACAATAAAACTATTGTTTTAGTGACATTTTTACACATACAAGAAACAGTGTAGGGTAACTATAAGTTACAGAGCATAAAAATAAAACAAACACCCACGAGCCCACTCAACTTGAAACGAACATTGGCCACACCATTGTTTTATTCCTTCTCATTCTCTACATTGCCTACTCAATGTAACAACTACCTAAAATTGGGGGATTTTTATCCTCTTCATTCTCATTTGTGATTTCCTTATTGCTTAAGCACATTATACATGCCCTATATTAACAGATTGTTTGCTTTTGCACTTTATAAAAGTGAAATCTAACTGAAGTATTTTGTGGCTCCTTTTTTTCATTCCCCACCATTTGGGCTATTTCCTACTGCAATAAATAGTCTTACATATGTCTCTTAGGACACAGAAGTAAAACTGCTGGGTCATAACATATATGCGTATCCAACTTTATAAGGAAATGCCAAAGTGTCTTCCAAAGTTATTATACAATTTTCACTCCTATGAACTGTACACAGGAGTTTCTATCGTATGCATTGTCACCAAAATATGGTGTTGCACTTTAAAATTTTTGCTTATCTAGTAAGTATTAAATGGTATCTCATGGTTTTCCTCTATTATATTTTTGTCACTTTTCTTATGTATCTTACTTTCAAGGCGAGGAATATAAGAACCTAAAAGGGGGCAAATTTTGATGTAGAAATAAAAATGGTGGGGACAATAACAATAAGAAAATAGAATTTTCTAAGTCCTGCTACAAGGTTCTTTGATTTTCTATATTTTCCCTCTAGAATGTAGTACCTTACCTTCTTTTCTTTAGATGACTTTGTTCCTTTTCAAATCCATGAAGACCAAAAGAAAGATTCAAACTGGAAGCATATGAACTAGATGGTGACATCAAAGACGGTTGGGCTTCGGTGTGTGATGTGACTTCTGTGTTCTCATTTGGTGGGTACGTGCCAGCGCTGGTTTCAGTAGGAAGGATGGGCTTGCTGCTCTGAGGCCCCAGAGTAGAACCCATGGATTCAAGGCAAGTGTTTTCAGTGATTCCCTCTATATTAATATAGTTAATATCCAAATCACCAACCTGGTAGTTGAAAGAAAAATATTTGCTGAGCAAAGAATAAAGTTTTCATAATTTAAAAACCTGCCAACTTATTTATCCTTTTTTGTTTGTTCTTGTTTTGCTTTATGTAAGCAGAGGATTCTTACATGATATATTTTTGTTCACATGGTTGCTATCCCATAATTCACAAAAGGAAGAAGACTGAGCATTTTATAAACTTTATTACAAAACCAGAAACTGACTATGCTTTTAGCATTTTATGAACCACTGACTCAAAAGAGGGGAAATGTTTTAAATACCTGAGAGAAAAACTAAAGAGTAGGTATTTTAGCTTATAAAATAGTTTATAGGAATCTGGGTAACTAAGTTAGTGGTGGTCACATAAATCTGAGTCTCCCAAACCAAAAGAAAACCAAATAAAGCTACATAAGACATATGGATTTAGCATAACTAGAAGACAGACAATGCCCCAAACTTTAAATTACCCATAAATAATAAACATCAAATCTCAGCAAGAAACCTGTCATATACTTGCCATAAGCCTTTGCATAGAGTAAGGGCAGCCTGGAAAAATCTGCATGGTAGGGAAGGCAGGGAGCTAGTGGAGGGCCTAAGACTGATCTAAAATCATCACCAGGAAGAGAAAGTACAGCTTCCTCTGGACCGTGTGAAAAAAAAAAGTCCCGGTTGATCAAAGCGCTTGCTCTAAGGAAGGGGCTTAAAAGTACTGGTGATCTGAGGTGGTGGTCATCAAAAGGCATCACTTCTGGAGGAGAAGACAGTAAACACGAAGAGAGTAACACCATTTAGAAATAAGACAGTGAAGGGGAAAAGAGGCAAAGGGGGAAATGTAGGGCGCTAAATCAACCACCATCATAATAATAATTTACTAAGAGGCAAAAACAATCAAGGAATGTTAGTGAGTGAGAGCCAAATCAGTAACTGGATACGTACTGGACATGTAAGACTCAAACTAACTCCTCACAAGATACACAATAATTTTTTTTAAAAAATAGTAATTTTACTGAAAAGAAATTTGGTAGATCAAAGATATCACCAGTAATGGGACAAATTATTGTCATGTGCCTCCTGATACAATGCACTGAGAAGAACATGACATCACCTCTGTAATATTCCTGCCAATCACACATAACCTGAATCTAATCATAAGGAAATATAAGTCAAACCAAAATTAAAGGACAGTATAGCAAAAAACAAAATAAGAAAACAAACAATAACCTGGTCTGTATTCTTCAAAATTATCAATGTCACAAAAGACAAAGACTAAGGAACTGTCCCAGCTTAAAGGAGACTAAAGAGACGCAACAACTAAATGCAAGATATGTTATTGAATTTTCTTTTGCTACAAGGAACATTATTGAGACAATTGACTAAAATTGAATAAGGTCTGTAGATAGCTAATAGTACTGTGTCAATGATGATTTCCTGATTTTGGTAACCATATGTGCTTAAATAAGAGAATATCCATGCTTTTAGGAAAATACACCATGAAAGACTGAGGGGTAACAGGGCACCATATTTTCAATTTACTCCCAAATGTTTACTATTTATATACATATCATAAGCATTTGCATGTACACACACACAACACATACTTAGAATAATAGAGTAAAATATGGTAAAATTTGGAGATTTTTTTGATAAAGAATATACAGGGATTCTTTGTACTGAATTATGCAGGCTTGAAATGATGTCCAAATTAATGTTTTTTCAAAGTAGTTTACCTGACAGAGTAATTTTCAAAGTAGTTTTTGTCATGTGAGTTTCCTCATTAGATAGGCTGATAACCTTGAAAATTTATGGGAAACATCACAAAGAAGCTAGCGATCTTTTCAGGCTTCTGTGCCAGGTTGACGGAGATGAAGAAAATTAGATAGAATTCTTTCCAGATATTGCTAAAAATTATTTTTGATATGCAGATTTTGGACTCGTCATTTTGTCCTTGCTATTCAAATGGACACAGGAACAGTAAAAGAAATGATGTAACTATACTACACCGATATAGTGAACTTTGTGATTTGTATCCAGATTTTGAGTTTTGTTTTCATGGCACAAATTCAGCAATCCTCTTCCTCATTTCAGTTTATCAATCAGGCTGTTCGTATTCTCTTTAAATGTATGATTCACATTATTAAAGCAATATTTCTCTCACTCAAAGTATTTCCAAACAGAAATTGCATCCTAACTTCATCTTTGGTTTGGGAAGTTATGCATTTTTAATGTATTTTAGAACATATAAAGACACAGGTTGCCCCCACATAATGTCCAGTCAAGTATAATTTTAGCTACTTGAAGTAAATGGAAGTGCTGTAGTATTCACTGAGGTTCAGAACGAAAAAAAAAAAATATATATATATATATAAGGACTCAAATGTATTTCATTTAAACGCTGAGAAAATATGGCAACAGAATAAAACCATTAAAATCAGAATGTGGCTAGAGCAGAGTAAGTCCAATTACCTTGTATCTTCAAAGACTGTCCCCAGAACTCCCACTTTGTCCTAAACTCTGTGTCTCACCCAGATTTCTATAACTAGGGCTGACATTCAGCTGCTTTACACCAAAAAAAAACTATACCAGTTATATACAGCTGATGTCCATTCTGATTTATTGGTTCTTCTGTCGTTTTGAATATCATTCCGATCTATGCCATTTATACTATGCATTTAATGTAACAATGTTTCATAACCCAAAGGAAAAAGCAAAGACATTCAACCAATGGGCTGAACTTGAGACCTACTAGACAGGAAAATAGTTTATATCAGAGAAAACATCAGTAAGTAATAGGGTTCAATATATGCACACTAACATAACAACAACAAAGGGTAAAACAGATTATTGCTCAATGAACATCTATATAGTGTTTCTTATGTAGGGATTAGGTTTCAAAGCCAGGGGGTAAAGCAGAATTGCGTGCTGTCAGAATTACTCTTGAAACTCCCTTAAGTCTCTCATAAATTAGGGCATGCAGAAATTTTCAGATCTATAACTAAACTTTAATTTTTATAAATATTAAAATTTGAGGATCACTGAGCTAGAGAAAAGATCAAAGAATAAATCCATACGTAGATGCACATTCAAACCATCCGCCTGTATGAGTTTTAACTCACAAATCTCTATCAGGGAATGGGTGGAGAACTCTAAAGGGTTCCAGCTTCCCTACAACATGACACCATTCTGTTTTAATATTAAGGCTCTATAACCTAAGTACACGTTAACAGGTGTGTTGTGAGGATTAAGCAAGTAATTTGTGTGACAGCTTCACGTGGGGCTGACATCAAGCTCTGGCTCTCAGTGTTTGCTGGATTTGAATATGAATACTGCTTAATCAGGTCAGAGAAGAAATTGGTCTCCCAAATGTCATTTCCAGTTTTGGCCTCATGGATGAGCCCTCACACTCTTCTCCTTGAACGGTGTCCTAAGACTCCTCCCACAGTGCCTCTCAGTGGGAGCTACGGTGTGCTGTGTTCTGAAGGAAGGACCTACATTAAATGCTCATATGGCAAGATTTCACAGCAATATCACCTGGGCTGCGCTTAGGCGGAAATTTTCAGAGGAACACAGCGATGCGGAATGTATTTCTCACATGCTCAGGTTTTGAAAAGAGGGCAGATGCCCCTAGTAACATCACTCACACCTTACCTGATCTATCACCATGCAGTTAGCATAGACTTCATCACCGCCATTCAGCATGTCAGAAAGCCGGCCAGCAGCAAGGAACGTTGGGGGATGCTTGGATTTTTTGAGGACATCAAAGGAACGATCTAGAGGAAAAATGAAAACAGGACAAATAAAGTAGAAGGAATTTATTTTACAGTTAAGCTTTACCTTCTTAATCAAACCACAAGAAAAAAATCAAGATGGCATTTTGCTGTCTTCACATATTAAGATCAACACTGCAAATGAATAGTTCTAGATAAACAAATATGTGCCCATTCCAAGCAGTATTTTTCCAATCATGAGAGATGCGCATAAAAATCAATTAGAAAAAAAAAATCAATTAGGTTTTTAGCCTTCAATTCCTAACACTAAACTAAAACTCGTTTCACTTAATAATGTGGAAGCATTAATGATCATACTGTGAGCCTCGGACTCCACTGAAGTGTTCAGACTCCAGACCCTTTATTCAAGGACCCAAGATAGGGCACAGTCTAGCAGTTCATTGCCTGCTGAATATGCATAATCTCATTCAGAAAGAGTTTTGCTCCTATTTCAACTACAGAAATGTTTTTGCTTGCTTCCCACGTTCTCAGGTTTGTTCCAAACAGATGAAGTTGCTCAAAGTTGAGTCCCAGAGAGTTGAGATGCTACTGTATTTGTGGGGAACATAAAGTTGAAGGTAATAAAACACAGTCGAGCCAGAATGCCTCATTTCTGTGACTCGGGCTAACTTACTTGATCTCCAAATACCTTTACAGAGTTTTCTCATCCGTAAAAGTAGATAATTATTATGCTTTCTTCATAGTGCAGTTATAAGGATTAAATGAGTTCAGATATGCAAAGCACTTAACACATGCCTAGCACTCAGCAACTGCTCAATAAATATTGTCACTATTATATTTTATGTTTTGTTATTATTAATGGTGATTTTACCGTTTTCAGTGTGAGGTACAAGCTTACTAATACTAATCATAGTATATTATACTAATAAGAGATTCTTAATATCTGTAAATGACTTTACTAGGGTAGACTGAAAGTTATATCCATAGCAAACGTCACCCTCACTGACATTCCAGTACGTTTTCTTCAGTAGGTACCAAAGGGATAGTGTTACGTCTATTCCATCAGAAATGGCACTAATCCTACCACCTGTCTTATTTATGTCATGGCTTAAAATCCAGGTAAGCCTGTGGGAATGAGTCAAGAAATGGAAAAACATTAATAACTGTTGCGCTAATGTAACAGGAGTAAAAAACTCTATTCTTTCCTGGAAAGTCCTAGATGACATTATAAAATTTACATACAAATATGTATGAGCCAAATGGCCCAGGCCTCAGATTCTACATCTAAGTATACCTCTTCCCCACAGAACAGTCAAGTGAGATTTAATTAAGCTTCTTGAGGAAATATACAATGTAAAAGGAAAACATTGTTTATAGTGTCTCGTTTTACCAATTTATTTAAATAGTTAGCAATATAACATACAAAGCCCATAAATACTTCATAAGTATAATTTTTATGATCAATTACTATATATTTTCATTCTAATTACAAAAAATAAAAGCATGTTCTAAAAGGTATAAATCAAGAATCTGACAAACCCAATGTGTTCTGAAGAAAATACTTGCTCATTTATCATTTTCCAGAATGTTTAAAAAACAATCATAAATAACTCAACATGGCCCTCTGAACTGTAATTAATCCAGCTTAACTGCTCTACAACATCTTAAGTTCACAGACTATAAAACAGCTGGCCTGGGAGGTTGGTTGTGCCCCTTTTAAACCATTTTGATCATGGCTAAATTAAGACTGCATTGAGAACTAGACTATCTTAAGAAATAACAATATACTCAACAAAACAATTGCAAACATTTGATGGATTTTAAGAACATAGAACTAGGGCTTCCCTGGTGGCACAGTGGTTGAGAGTCCGTCTGCTGATGCAGGGGACACGGGTTCGTGCCCCGGTCCGGGAAGATCCCACATGCGGCGGAGCAGCTGGGCCCGTGAGCCATTGCCGCTGAGCCTGCGCGTCCGGAGCCTGTGCTCCGCGACGGGAGAGGCCACAACAGTGAGAGGCCCGCGTACGGCAAAAAAAAAAAAAAAAAAAAAGAACATAGAACTAAATGAAATAGTACTCCAAATTTTCTGGCACCAGTGAATGTATTGGCCAGTTACCCAATATCCAAGTTCTTAATTACCAAGAGAGCAAGTTCTGTGTTCAGCACTGACCCTCATATCTCCAGGATGAGCAGGACGACGAACTACTTCCTTTTTCACATACACAGGTAAAAGTCACTCGGATTCAACCTTTTCTTCCACAAACAAATCTACCTAGCACAATATAGCAGATCAGAATCTATAAGGAGATCATACACAAGCAGTTAAATAAACTTAAAGATGGTAGAGTTACTTGGACCAAGTTGGGGGTCTAATTTGTTTTCTGCATGATTAACTTGATCAGTGTTTTAGAAAATGATGGAATTTTTTTACAAAGACAGATCTATAATCTCTTATCTGTGATTCTGAAATCTAGATATCTCTGAAAATCAAAACTTTTTTCTTAAGTTTGGTTCAAAAATATATTTGTTGGCCTGACCTGAACTCACATGGGGCCCTGAAGAATCCCTATGTACCCCACTTGGTATGAACATTCATACATTCTGTTGCAGAGATACTACCATGCTAGATGATGGCACTGCCCTAGTGTATACTATGCAAGTCACATCATATATAAGCACTATGCCAATAAGATCTGAAAATTCTGAATTCCAAAACAAATATGGTCCCAAGAGTTTCAAAGAAGAGACTGTAGATCTCTATAAAATTAACCATAGCAGATATCAGACCAGTATTTCCCAAGATTTTGTTATTCCTCTACCAAATTCAGTTTTGCCATATCTGTAGATCACCTCTATATTATATTCTCTAGTGGTTTTTAGATTGACTCACCATTTTCCTTTGAAAAAAAATTAATTTTCATAGAAATACCTTATTCTCACTGTAAACAGAAAGCCAGTATTTCCTGTCAAAAGCAGAAGGGAATTATACATACTAAAACGAGGGAACACAAAACAATAAACTACATTCTGACTAAACAGTTTCCTCTCAAAGCTGAAAGTCTACAGGGCCTTTTCTCTGTCATAAAGGAAGTGTCTGAAGGATTTGAGAGGTGCTAAAGAGGCGATGGTGCCAACTGACTTCCTCCTTGAATCAGAAGGTCAAAAGAAAATGGAAAAGGAAATACCTGCCTTACTATGTGACTCAATGTCATCTAGTGTTAGGCTGGGACACCATCTCCAAGATCAACAATGCCCAGAAGAATTTACCCTACACTTTGGATAACTTGCCGAGACCCTGTTCTCATCCTGTTACTTAGGTAATGACAGTAAGTCTTGCTGGGGGAGGACACAACTGTACAAAATCTTAAGATAGCAGTGAGAAGGGAAAAATCTTCCTCCTCTCTAGATCTGTCATCCCAAACCTGCCATGTAGATTTTCTGAGTCACTCCTTGTAACTATTTATAAAACTGGCCCCCAAATCTTGTGCAGTATAACTCTCTGGAGCATCCATAGCTTCCACTTGCCAAAAGGCACCGAAAAATAATAGGATCTAAAAGTGAACACAGACCAGCAACCAAAAGGTGACACAGACTTACTAGACTTCCACTCCTTTATTAACTTCAACATTAGTCACTGCAAATAACGGGCTTCAAACCAGCAGAATAAGATTTATTGTGGAAAGAAAGTAAGTCTTAAAAAGTACCTTCAAATAAACATCAGCTACGTATATTAAAGTGGTTAATGCTCTACTGTGCTTCAGCCCAAAGAAAAAGCACAACGTTTTCATTAAAAAAAATAAAACTGATCTTTTCAAGAGTTTCAAGATATATGATTTCATTACTTCCATATGTAACCATTTAGTAGCAAATTAAGGGAAAAAGTATTGCCCCCCCCCCAAAAAAATGTCCTTCAGGTGTTTCGTCAATGACCATATAGAATTAATTTGCAATAAAAAAATCAGCTCTTTGTCTTAAAGGAATGCTGTTTTGTAAATAGTTTGTCTTAGCAAAAAGCTAAGCAAAACCTAATCTTACAGTTTCGTTGATAGTATGAATTTTTAATACTTGGTAAACCCATATTTCAGACATGGTAAAAAAGTAACTAAAACTCAACTCCCATCCAGTAGCTGCCAATTTTAAATTAGTGGAGAGCAATGTGTTGCAGTAATTGAGAGCAAGGGTCCTGGAATACTTGGATTCAAAGCGCTATTCCACCATCTATTAGCTTGGGTGACTTTGGGCAAGTTACCTAACCTCTCTGTACCTCCATGACCTGATCTATAAAATGGGAATGGTAATACTTGTCGCTCATAGAATTGTTGTACGGATTAAATCGTTTAACGTTTTAAGTGATTAGGACACAATCTGACACAAAGAAGGATTTTAATCTGACACAAAGTAAGCACTACGTAAATTCTTGCTATTATTATACGAGTAAATGAGGTTGTATAGTTTTGATACTTTCATGTAGTTTTGCTTCTTAAAAAAAAAAAAAGATTTCAACTTTGGTTATAACTTTTCACATTTAAAATTAACCCAAGGCAACTGGAATGCACAAAACATTCCATTTACTACACGAAGAGCTTTTAAAACGTTTTCACTCTTATTTCAGACTCAGCTAATGTTAAGAAACTTTGAAAAGTCCATCCTGAACAAAGTAACCAAAAAACAAAGCCAACCTGCCCATAAAATTTACCTCCAAGGATGTAAGGATGAGATCCTTACGAAATGGGAGAGATTATAAGAGTGGGACGAACAAAGCATAAAGTCAGGCAATCAGAGACAGCATTTCTCAAGAACAAAGGGAATATTTCAGAAACTGCGATGTTCTAACATGATGAAGTGGACTCCGGCCAGGTTCTCCCTGCAGAATGCTTAGAGGATAAACAGTAACTCCGAGGGGATTCCCCATCTCTCCCCGCTCCCATTATTCTCACTGCTCTGTAATGTGATATATGGAACTCTACAGGGGCTCCCTGAAGGAGAAATTTTCATTAGCATTTCCTTGCTATAATAGACGCTCTAGTTAGGTGACACAAGAG